TTGGTCCCCCATCCCCTGCGGGATCTTCCTGAGGCCTTGGGCCCAGTCTCCTGGCCACCATGAGGCTTCCTGGGCCACCAGCAACATGTTGGGCCCACCCTCCCAGCTGCTGCAGGGCTTCCTGGACCACTGGCCACAACAGGGCTTCCTGGGCTGACAGCAGCATGCAGGGCCCACCCTCCCAGCCACCGCAGGGCTTCCTGGCCCTCCAGTAGTACACAGGGCCTACCCTCCTGGCTGCTGCAGGGCTTTCTGGGCTACTGGCAGTCCACGGAGCCCAGTCTCCCAGGTGCCGCTGGCTTTCCAGGGTACCACAAGGCATGTGCACACAATATCCAGCATGTGGCACAGATGCCGGGAAGCCCCAATCCCAGAAGCCCCACCCTCAGCATCAGGTGACACCAAGTTAGGTACGCCACAGCTCTGGTTAACAATATATTCAAAGCTTTACTGTTCCACAAAACAGTGATATTTGTATTGCTCCAACCGAAAATGCACAAAATACATGAAAGCTTTTGAAGCTTCACTGGTTTCTTCGTCAGACAAATGTGTTAAAAACCATATAGGAGAAGAAGAAAAATGGCAATGTTAGAGTCATTCTTTGTTGTTGCTGTGTGGTTTGACCTGTACTGACTCCCAAAAGTCTTACTATATTGCCTGCCTATGGAGAGTTTAAGTAGTTCCCCCCACCCCCCAAAGACCTATTATAAACTCCACTAAAAGTCCAAAGGCCTTTCTTTAGTAAAACAGTATTTTATTTTGGTTTTTTTATGAAAATCCATTGAGCTTTTCCCTATTGACTAAAGACATTCCAGGAAGTCCTTATTAAAGGAGAGCCAGTGAGGTGTGGTAGTTTGAGCATTTGGACTACAATTCTGAAGACCAGGATTCAAATCCAGCTCAGCCATGAAACTGAATGGGTGACCTTGGACAAGTCACACCCTCTCTGCCTCAGAGGATGGCAAGGGCAAACCCCCTCTAAAGAAACCTGCCAAGAAAACCCTGTAATAGGTTTGCCTTAGGATCATCATAACTCAAAAATGACTTGGAGGTACACAACAACAACATGAAAATAGCCCTTTTCTCTCCCCATTTGTGAGTCTTTTACCTTGCATGTCCAGCAGGGGGAAATAACAAGCACTGTACAAAGAAGGAATATGCAGACCTGTTTAAAGAAGTGATTTGAGCAAGCAAGTAATATGCTCAGAAGAACATGGTAAATTTCTAAGGTTAGATTGTTCCATTGGGCTTTTCCCTATAACTCCTTATCAAGGAGATTGCTTATACCTATGTTGGTATCATTAGGTGCCAGGCAAACACATTTTACTTTCCTAGTCATTTTGGTGTCTAGTGGTTTCATCATCTTTGGAGTTTCAGTGTTCAAGCAATGATAACCAGCATGAGGTCTCCAGCTAGTGCTGTGGAAATGTCTCCCTACCTTGTTACTGTATGCTATTGTTGCATTTGTATTACATATTTGTAGATTTTATTGTTATATATTGTTCTGATACGATGGAAACTCCAGTAGTTAAAAATGTGGGGTTTGTTGTTGTTGCTAGCTGCTTGAGTCAAGCCTGTTAACTCAAGTCAACCCTGACACATGGTGACCCTGTGGATGAGATATCTCCAAAACTCTCTGTGCTCCACTGTCCCGCTTAGATCTTATAGATCCAGGACCATGATCTCCCTGAGTATATCCATTTCACCTGCTGTCTTCCTCTTTCTGCTGTCTTTTCCCTTTCCTAGCATTATTGTCTTTTCCAACAAGTCATTCTTTCTCATGAAATGGCCAAAGTATTAGAGCTTCAGTTTAATCATCTTGGCTTCCAGGGAGAGCTCAGGCTTGACCTTTTCAAGGACCTATTTGCTAGTCTTTTTGGCTGTCCATGGTATTCTCAGCACTCTTCTCCAGCATTACATCTCAAATGAGTTGATTTTTATTTTATCCACTTTCTTCACTGACCAGCTCTCACATGCGCACACGGTGATGAGAAATACAATGGATGGGACAATTCTAACTTTAGTGCTCAGTTGTATATCTTTACTCTTTAAGATCTTATCCAGCTTTTTCATAGCTGTCCTCCCAATTCCTAATCTTCTTCTGATTTCTTGACCGCAGTCTCCATTCTGAAAGATTTGATTCAAGGTATGGGAACTCTTTTACTATTTCTATTTCCTCATTATCTAAATTAAATTTATGTCACTCTTCTGTGGTCATTATTTTTGTTATTATTATTATGTTCAGCAGCAAGCAGTAAGAAATATTAAATAAAACAAACAAAAACTTCACACACAGTAGTATCTAAATCTAATTGCTTGTCCAAATAGAGTGGATCCATTGCATCAATATAAATCAAGTTCAGTATTGGCTAGACCTCTTGATTCAACACTGATATAAATTCCATAGCTTCAATAGTTTTCAATAGGTAGTTGTGTTTTTTTCAGCTGAAAAGGAATGAAAGAAAAAAGAGGGAAGGAGACTGTGTGGGAGGGGGGGATCTAGGAGCACTTCTAAGTTGTGCTGATTTATTTTATCATGAAGATTTGTGGATGTCAAGAATTGACAATACTAACAGACTAGCTACTTGAAAGACTTGTGTCATTTCACACAGACTAATGGCCAGGGTTACAATTGCATCTTTCTGCATCCTATTACAGTCTTTCCCACTCCTAGGACCTTATCACACGGGGTCTAAAGCAGACCTAATCCAA